GAAAAAAACAGATCAGTATTACACTAAGCTGGAAGGCAATTGTTTTTAAATCCCAGTAGGATAACAATCACCTGGAGAACATAATAAATATGCAGAATCACAGGTTTCAGCCTCAGAAATTCTGATTTAGTAGGTCTGGGATGAGACCTAGGATTTTGCATTTTAAACAAATACCCAATGATTCTACTTCAGCCAGTCCAAGAACCACACTTTGAAAAACACTGCCCTCAACCCTTACCCAGCAAATAGGTTGTTCAAATTAACCAAGGTCAAGAGTAAGGTCAAAGCTGACACCACCATTATGCCACCCGGCATCCTCTTTCCCCGAGACACCAGTGCAGGCCGTTCCATTGGTGAGTGACAGAGAGCCTACTGACATCCGGTCCTCCTGGCCTGGGGGCTGAACACAGTGTGGGGCAGGCCCACTGCAGACACAGAGGGTGCTGCGGCCACAGGGCAGGTGGAGGCACAAGGAGCCGCAGACCCTCCCGAGCCCAGTTGTGTCTCCGCAGCCTTCTGTGACGCGCAGCTGCTCTTGGCTCTATGGTTAGTCTGACCCGAGTGACTATGAAGGGTTTCTGGGGCTCCTGTACCATGAGAGCTGGGGACATGTGCAGTCTGTCACTAATGCCCTACTCAGCAGTGTTCCCACAGGCTCTGCTTTGGGTCCTTCTCTCTGAAGCCCCTCCTTCCCCTGGGCCACCTGCCCTGTCATTGACTTGCAAACAGTCCCAAAGACCACAGCGTGCCAGCCAACAGTCACGGATCGAGGTAATCCTGGGGGACGCATGGCTTGCAGCTTTCACAGGGAGACCGCTTTTTCTGGCACAGAAAAAAAAGGAGAAAGAACACACTTGCTCCCAAAGTGCAGGCAGAGCCTACGCAGGGCTTCATCTCCAGTGAGACACTTTGTGAAGCCACCCCTACGGTCCTCACTGTTCCTCCTGCAGGCACCAGGGGCCACAGTTCCAGCCACTGTGCCCATTGGCTCCTTTACGGGCCCCGTGCATCCCCAGACTGGAATCTGTGCCAGCTGCCCTCTCCTGTGAATCCTCCCTGCCCCTGGCAAGACCCGAGAAGGTGGCCCATGAAGGTGATCCGAGACGGCTGAGAAAGAGGCTAATGTCAGGCAAGGTGACATGCTTAGACCCAAGAGCTACTTTCTCTTCCTGAATACCTAGCCACCAATCTAATTGAACTTACAAATTATTTAGTAATTATAGGTTTCTCTTACCGGCAACAACCCACAGACACTGGGGTGTCCCATGAAATGGATTCTTCTTCCCCAGGACCTCAAGGCACAGCAGGGGCCTTGGCAGTAAGGGAGCAGGCTAAACGGCCCAAGGGAGGAGTTTGCAGTGATTCCCCAACACAGTGAGCCATGGTTCTACTGGGCACCAGATGTGGGGGTGGAAACTGAGGTCCTAAAAGATGCTCATCCAACTGAACATAAGACAGGTTGCTTGGATACTAGAGGCCCCAGGAGGCCTTGTCACCACAAATGCCATTTGTCACCACTAAATGACTAGGCTCACAGGGCCACCAGAACCTTGATGTCTTTTAGGAGAAACTCCTTGGAATTGAAAATTGCCCTGGAAATGGCACTTCGGAGACACCACCACCATCTGACCCTGGTCTTGAGGAGGTGGATGTGATTTGCCCATGGACTTGCTGCCCTCAGCACCAAAGCTGCAGCTGTGCCTGAACTCCCCCAGGAACCCGCCCCTGCTGCATGAACGCCAGCTCCATCTCCAGTTCCCTTTCCCCCATCTCCCTCTGGTGATGGGGGAAAGGGAACTGCCATTCCTTGTTCTTCTCTGACCTCCACCTGCCATTCCTTGTTCTTCTCTGACCTCGCTGTAGGGCCCTGGACCCTCACCCCTGGGGGTTGCCAGAGCTTCAGGTGGGCTTCCCTGAGTAGGCACTCACCCCTCGCTCTGCCCTGCACATGTTCCCAGCCTCCCTCTCATTGCCTTTTAGCTGCTGCTTAGGTTGGATCCTTCCAAAATATCACCAGACAAGAGCAGGTGCGGCAGTTTAGCTCAGCCCAACTGAGTGAGTGGGGGGGAGAGGCAGGGAGCCAGAAAGCTGAGGAGGGTGCAGTGGGGGCTCAGCCCTGCCAGGGACCCCCAGAACACCCTGCAGAACCCACGTCAGAACTGTCCCCACCAGGAATAGGGGAACTGGGCTACTGTCCTCCAATGACACCCTCCTTAGTGGAGGGTGTCCCTCAGGGCATTACCCTAGCCCTTCCAGGTGTCCCTGCACAGGCTGAGCCCACTGCTCTGCCCGGAGTCCTTCAGGCAGAGACAAAGGCACGAGCAGGCAGCTGCCCTATCTCAGCTGCAGGGGACTTTGGGACAGGTCACCAGGGAAGGTACAAGGCATTGACAGTGTTCACTGCCACTTCTCCACGTCTTAAGAGGAACTCCTCACTCCCTTGGCCTGGTCTTCAAGGCAGGGTTGCCTGGTGAGATACAGGTCACCCAGTCCACATAAATGACGGGTCACTTCTAGTAGGCATGTATCTAAAACACTGCGTGTTTATCTGAAATCCAAATTTAACTGGGCATCTTGTATTTGTAGTAACAAAATCTGGCAACCTGTTTTCAAGGTCCTGTCTATTCTGGTCTCCATCCATTCCCTAGGACCCTGAACCTCAAGCCCTGTCCTCCTTGAGACACAGCTTTTCACTGTATCTGGAAGAGGCCATCTCTCCCTCTGGGCCTGAAGTCTTTCTACACACGTCAGCACAGCGTCTCTCCTTCCTATCTCCTCTACCAGCAGCCATTGTCTGCACTGGTCATCTCACGACCTTGGAGTGCTCGCTAGTATGTCTGAAATACTCACTTTCCCAGACAGACTAATTCTTAGCTCTCCTACCACAGTGACCAACAGGTCGTTACTAGCTGGTATACAAAGGGACCCTGAGGTCCCACCAGCAAGCACAAGCTCTGTGAGGACTGAGTCAGAGCCCCGTCCTTTGGTCCTGTCTCATTACAAGGAGAGTAGTGGGCATATGGTTAGACTTGTTAACAACTGGATGAAACTAAGACTGGTAAAACACTGCCAGAGTCACCACTAGCAGCGAAAAGGACGGTCAGGTGCCCCAACCCCAGCGTGGGTTTTTCAAATCACTGTCTATGATTTCTAGTCCCTTAAACTGGTTCTGGATTTCATCCTACACTCCCATTGACATTGCCTCCGAAGTGTGCAGGCACATGTATGTGCGTGCGTGCGTGCGCACACACACACACACACACACAAGCTTATACATGCATTGCAGACCAGCTTTCCACTTGACCTCAATACAATATGGCTTGTCCACTGGACAATGTCAAGTTCTTCTCTCCCCCACCCCTCCTCATTTTTAAATTAGACATGAATGTAATAGTCATACATGCACTTTACATGGTAAAGACTTTTGCATGAATTATATTATTTCTACATCCCTATAAGGCAGGAAAAACAGGTATTATTTTCTCCACCTGTCAGGGCAAATGGAATGGTTAAATGGTTGACCCAAGGGATCACTGTTTTAGCAGCAAATATGGGTTTTAAATGTCTTTTTCAAATAAAGCCTTTGTTTCTGCATATTTGGGTCACCACCATGATGGCCCCACAGCAGGGGTGGGGGTGTCCAGTCATCTGCTCCCTGGGTGCGCTCCCCTCCACTGTCAGGATGCCCAACTTCAGTCTGCTCATAGGTACCCATTATATGCTGCAGGCTTGGAGCCCCTGGCCCTCACCTTCCTCACCAGGTGCTATTCACTCCGGGAGGGAAAGTTTAAGCATAAGGATCTTGGGGGAGAGTCTGGAAGGAAGGACACAGGAGCAAAAGTCTAGTGCTGTTCCCCGTGAAGAGTGAGTGGCCAGGCGCTAGCAAGCCAGCTCTGCCTGTGGCTGTCAAGAAGGATCAGCTTGACTGGGTGTGCAGGCAGCACTGAGAGGAGGGCTGAACTCACTGCACACTCCACCCTGCCCCAAACCCGCCACGCAGGAAGGGAACAAAATATTCTTTATGGAGCAGACCTCTGTCCATGTGTGCCGAGAGTCTGGCATGTGTCTGGGTGTGTGTTAGCACGTGTGTGTGTGTGTGTGTGTGTACGCGCGCCTGCGGGTGGTGTGCCGATTTTCACTTGGTTGGTATTGGCGGAGGGTGTGACCCAGTTGGGGGTTCCCTTCGGGTAAAAGTAAGGGCCCCGGTTCACCTCCCACGACACGACCCCACTAATGGGGAGGCCAGGACAAAGGTCTGGCGCTACCTGGGCAGGCGGACGGGATCTCAGGTGGGCGCACGACCCTACTCGTCGCTTCCCCTTGGCTGGACAAGGTCGATCTGCAGACCGATCGATGTCGCCAAAGTCCAGGTCGCCGGCGTGCCGGGGGCTGAAGTTCGCGGCAGCCCTGCACAGATTAAGTAGCCCCGAACCCCCATATACCACGCACGACCAAACTACACTCCCAGAAGGGCATGCGAGAAGGGCTGCAGAGAAGCCCCCGCCCAGAAGAACCCCGAAGAAAATTCGTGAGGAGAGAGATATATTTGGGGGCGCAGTTACACAGCCACCCACGCCACTGTCCCCACCCACCGCCCCTCCCCTTCGTCCCCGGCCGCCGCACGCAGCTCCACCCCCGCGGAGCGCAGTCCACACCGTCCTTTTTCAGCAAAACAACACGATGCACCGCCCCCCCCCCACCCGCACCCGGCTGGATCCAGGGCTACGCCCAGCCGGCCACCAGCCGCGCCCGGCCCGGGAGCGCGCCCCGCGCCCCCACTCCTCTGCAGCCGCCCCCGCTCCGGACGGTCCCAGTGTCCGGGCCACACACGGGTGGCGAGCGAGATCCAACCTCGCCTCTGCAGCCTAGTCGGGCCCTGCCCCTCCACCCTTCCCCCCAGCTGCAGAAGTGACAGGAGGGGCACGCACGGCGCGCGCGGGGCGTCCCGCGTTAACCGCCTCGGCGCCGGGGTCTGGAGCGACTGGAGGGCTGGGACTCACCGGAATGTGCACTCGCAGCGAACGCCGCTTCTGGCTGGGATTTTTCTTGCCGCCGCTCCCGCCGGGGCTGGAAGCCTCTTTCTTCTTCTTGGTGTCCATGGCCGCGCTTCCCATAACTTTAACCAGAAGTTAATTCCGGTGACTCGTCCCTGGGGTTCTGTCCCCTCCCGTCTCCCCGGCCGCTGCCGTTGGACTGGAGCCGCGCGCTCTTTATGACTGTCCTTCCACCCTGAAGACACCTCGTGGGGACTTCCGCGGGGAGGGCGGGTGGAGCAGGTAACTCGCGCCGCGCCACCGGAGCGGATGGCGGTCGGCGGGGAGCGCTGAGTTGGAACGTGCTCTTTCCTACGGAATCATCGGGTGCAAAGTCAGAGTCAGAGCCAGAGCCCGTGCTGGTTCGGTTACGCGTGGCAGAGGTCTCCTGCTGGGTGACAAAGTTTTCTTCCTTTTGCAAAGCGAAGCAACATTTTCCACCCTCTTGGCTCCTCCCACAGATTCCCAGAGGTAATCTGAAAGGCAGGTGCTATTAAAAAAAAAAAAAAGAAGAAAGAAAGAAAACAATAATTTGAAAACAGCGCTCCTGTGCCTGTGCCTAGGTGGAGACCGTGGCGAGAGCCAGACAGTTTGTACATATATACTTAACCCTCGGCCGCAGAATAAAGCAGCCTGGAGCCTGGAACCAGGGCCGTCCCCCTCTCTGGGCCAGAGGGAGGGCAGGAGGGGAAGAGGAGGTGCAAAGGCGAAGGCTCTTTGCAATTGGGCTACTGCGTGGCTGCAGGCAGAACTTCTGGCGGCTCGCAGGCCTGCGGGCCCGAGGGCGCGCCCGGAGCCCTGCTGAGCTAGGAGGGCAGGGCACCCGCCCCCCGCCCACAGCCGTGCCGCGGTCCCCCGGGAATGAGAGGGACAGTGAGGAGCCGGGCCTGGCATCGGCGCAGGCTCGAGGAGCGCAGGGCGGTGGAAGGCGGCGCGTGTTGAACAGGAAGTGCGCGGCGTGCGGCGCCACGGCCCCACTCCCCGTCGCCCCCGGGTCGCCGCTCGCTGTCCCCTGCGGCCGAGGCCGCTGGGACTTTCTCAGTGCTGATTTCGGATCCATCGCGTCTCCCAGTGTCTCTGTGGGAGACACTGTGGGCATGACCCCCTGAAACACACATACGCACACGCGTCTCGTCCCTGCTGCAGACCCGGCAGCTATGGGAACCCCCGGTTTTCGGTGGGCTGCACGTTGACCAGCACAGGCTTCACGGAAAACCGCCCACCTGGCGTTTGGACCCCAATCCACAAGGAGAGCGGTCTGGGTCTCTGGGTGAGTGCAGGCTTTTCTCCCCCATCCACCCACCCACCCACCCGCTCAGCTGTGCTTCATCAGGATTTGTGCAGTGGATCCGCGGTAAAGCTCACGTTCCCGCGTCGCGGAAAACGCAGTTCCTGAGACTGCGGGAAGAAATGGGTGAGAGAGGGCCTGAAAACCAGGGCAAGGGGGCTCCACGTGCTGGCACAGTCCTTTAGAGCCACTGGGGTGCGTAAATGGCCCCGCCCACTGCTGAGGCCCCGCCCCCAGGTGCTCTCCCGGATCGAACGACCTCAGCTCCCGGGGTTGGAAGTGGGGAGAGTGGGGTTCGCTTCCCCTCCTGCTTAGATAGAGGACGCGGTGACTCCAAATGTCACTCGAGCTTTCTGAATATAGACATCAGCTCGGTCGTTCTGTACTCAGTAATGCACGCATTCCACCCAGAGGAAGAGCGCAGCAAGGGTCATTTTGGAGACACCTTGGGGGTCCATGAGAAGTTGGCCTTAATTCCTGTCCAAGTGCCGCCTCCGCACAGTTTTCTCGTCGGAGGAGGCGTGGTTAGCGCAAGGTAGTGAACGTGCCTTAGAAAAAGGCCACGTCTCGGCCCAGGGAGCCCTGTTTTGGCCAAGCTCAAGGTTTCCAGCCCAAGTTCTGAGGTGGATGGGTCCCTGGTCTTGGGGTGGGTTGAGGTCGGGTTTACCTGTCTCCTTTCCCCTGCTCTCCAGCCCAGCGTGAAGCCGGACTGGAAGACGCCCTCAGTCCCGCAGCAGCTCAGCCTAGTAGCTCAGGGTCCCTCTAAAAAGAGCTGTCTGGGGTGGACCTCCAAGCTCCACCATGGCCCCCGGTGTGGGATTTCTGGGTCTTTTCCTGGGTGGCTCCAAGATAAAGGATTTCAAGGGACCCCGCAAGACCTTCTTATTTCACTAAGTGCTCAAATCTCTGGTTAGAAGTAGTAAAGGGGAGGCCTTCCGTCTGCCAGTTGGAGTTAAATGACCAAGGGAGTCCACCCTCACCACTAAAAATCACTCCTGGATGTCATTTAAATGTCCCCTCTTTAGCTTAAAATGTTAACCCCTATCTCCATGATAATTTGCCGGGGGAGGGGATGGAGTGGCATAAATCATGCCATTGGATTAGAACTGGGTTTGGAAGGAAAGATGGAGCCATAGGAAGGGAGCCAGCTGACCCGGAGGGAAGTCAGGGAGGAGCCACTGGGAAGAGCTCAGAAGGGGACATACAATGTTTCTTATCATATCGTGTGTTTTCTCCATGGGGCAGTTTTTAGCAATTACTATACTGTGTACTTTTATCCATTGATTTCTATAAATTTGTACAATCCTTCATTGATAATTAGTTTATTCCCTGAGTTTATTTTATTGGAGTCCAAGTTTTAGTGCCTTGGAATTTTAAATTAAAACATTTCACTGTATTGCCTGCATTTTAACAGCATTCCCTCCCCCATTTTGTTACCATATGTTAATATTTCTGAAATTGGAGTGTTTCCTTTAGGTGATGTCAGAGGAAGGTTAACAGACTTTTTTTTTTCTTCTCAAAAGATATTATTAAATTGATTATATGTCTTCTATCCAGATTGGAGGGAACACTGTAATTGTTTTGCTTTGGGGCACTTTCTGAAAACACCCCTTTTCTCCTACCTGTGGGTGTGCATATGGTTATTTCAGCCAGGAGCTAGCTACATGCGGTGTGCTCAAGCAGCTGTCCATGCCACAATCCCTGCCATCCACATTGCTGAAGGCCCTGCCTATGACCTTCCCCAAAATAATGCAGTAAAATATGTGCTGAACAAAATACCAAAATGAAGATAGGATTACTGAGTTTTGCCTTTTGCCTCAGCTCCAATGTTGCTTGGCTCGTTGATCCTGCCTTAGGGCAAAATTCTGATTTTTAGGAAAGATTACATTAAAATATCCTTTATATTGCTGGCTGAGTTTTGGGCACACTCATAATATTTCCACCCAAGGCCAGAGCCTCATTCATCTCCCCCTTGTCTGCTCCGTCCTTCTGATTGATGGAAGGGTGAGAAAGAGCTTGCTGAGAACCATCCCACGTGCTCCAGGAGGACTTCTGGAGTCCCACTCCTCACGGCCACTGCCACTGTGTGCCAGCATTGCCATCGGGAAAAGGAGCGGGTGATCTTTACACGATTTCTAAAGCCTTTTTAACCAGGGCTTGTCTTTTGTCTGGATTATATTTTGCATGACTTCATCAATTTTATTGCTCTAGCAATTCACCTTTTCACAGAATTTTACAAAAGTACCATTCCACAATACATCGGTAATTAAAAACAACAAAGATATAATGACGATAGACACACCCCCAGGTCTTTGACCAGAGGTGGCTCAGGACAAGGCTTCCTGTGGAGGGGAGCGGGCATGCTGAGACACTTCTCATTTGAATTGTGGTTGGTCTGGGCAGATGATGGTGAGTCCGTAGTTAGTGAGCAGGCTGTTGGGGGTTTTGCGTGCTTCAGCATATCCAGTGAGCAGTACTGTTAACCCTGTTTCCCAGTCCAAAAATTGGTGACTGTGGGACTGCTGTTCCAGGGCACTAGCATCACCCGCCCTCAGGGCTTCTGCTCAACTTCTTGGCCCATCATGATGGCACCACCTCTTCCCAAACCAGGTCAATGTTTCATTCAGAGAAGATGATTAAACTGCTGCATCAAGGTCAAGGCCTATGACCGAGTCGGGAACTGCAAGACAAGGGATGTTAAGACTGTGAGTAAAGGAAACCTCCACCCAGGGCTTAGGGGTGGGTCCTGGCGCTTTAATTTCACTTAACCCAATTTTCCAAACTTACTTGTCTCTGCTTTTCCTACTTCTGCTTTTTCTTTTGTCTATTAATATCTCACATACATGAAGATGATTTTGGAAGCCACAGGTCATCTCTGTAGAGCATTGACAACCTAGAAGGGTTCAGAATCGGTGGTGTACTCATGGATTCAAAGTCCACACCTGCCCTGTGCCCTTGGAATGTCACCGATGGCAGGATTCTGGGGACTTATAGATGGATGTGTGTGTCTGATGAATCCCCCTCCTCATTGGCAGTGTCCCCATGTGGGAAAGGAGACAGGAAGCAACTCTTTGGTCACCATGCTGGGTAGCTCATATAAATCATCTCCTCTAATGTCTGTTAGCCCCCCTGAGAGAACAGCATATGCACTTCACGGTCTAGGGAAGCTGCATCCTAGTTGCTAGCAAGTGCTTTGCATCCATTAACTTATGTCCCTTGGTTCTCATTGCTGTTCCCTTTATGAAAACAGAACAGATTTGCCCCCCTCCTCTTTTAAAAGCTTTACGCAAGACTAAGAAGACTCTAGTAAATGCCTCCCAGGTGACTTAGATAGGCTACAGGACATCTCTGCTGCCTTGTTTCCAGACAGTGACACAGGATTGTGAGAGCAATGGCTTCTATCTTCAGGACCCCAGGGACTCAATTCCATGCCAAATGCCACTCTTGGGAAAATGATCCAACAAGGTGTGGGCTCGGGGCCTCTGTAAATGCTGTGCTAACTCACTGGACACCAAGCTCAGGGCATGTACCTGACAATGGCAACCAAGGCCAACAGGCACATTCCCATTTCCACTTCTCTTTCAGCTTGGGCACTCACCAGTGCAAATGAAGCCACTAGTGTTGATACCTGAGGGAAGAGAGGCAGGGGACCCGGGTGAGTGGAACACTGCCCTGGGATGCCAAATCTCCTGACCACCCCCTTCATGGGTCCATTTTGATTTTGGGGGCACCCAATTTGGCCCCCTCCTCCATCTCCTTTCAGGCTGCCCTTGATCCATAATGCCTGTCAACCTCAGGCAGCCCCGTTGGCGAGATCCGGGATGCACTTTGGGAGGAGGAAAGGGCGAACTCTGTAGCAATGTTCTCCCAAGGGTCAGAATTGCTGTTCACTTCTTCCCTTGGGGAGAAGCCTGGGTCTTTGCCAGCCCTGTGCCTAAAAGCACATTCAGCAGTTCTCCAGAACAACAGATTCAGCAAGCAGGGTGCGTGGAACCACGCAGTGGGGCACAGTGGAGAGCGTCTGTTTGCTAAATAAAAGGCAGGTAATCCCAGCAATCAGCTCCCTTCCTGACTAAGGGCCGTAGTCACGTAAACAGCATTAGCTGGGAATGAAGTCGTTGGTTCTGCCAACAGCTGCCTTCGTCACTGACCCACAGCATGCCCGTTCTAGTGATCTGCCTCACCTGCCATGGGGTGAAACGTCTGGGCTCCCCAGGTTGCAGAATGGGACTAAAGGTCTCTGTGTGTCAGCCCTAGACTTAGTTATTAGCATGCAATAAGCAGACCATCAACCCTGGGAAGTTTGGAGTCCCACTATAACCTGAATATGGCTCCTGACCGTTTTCTGACCTCTTGATCATCTGTCCATTGGTACGTGAGTAAATAATGCAAATTAATCATAATCATTTCCTAAGCAAACAAAGTTACTTTGGCAATTATACCAGCTCCAAAGTGCAGGACAATGTGGCCCTAACGAACATGGGAGGGTGTATCTGACCTCCTGGCTGACCACTGATGACGTCCCCTCAGGTAACATGTAGCTGACAGCCAGGCCTGGCCTCTAGAACATCATCAGGGCTTTTCATCAAGACTCCAGGAGAAAATAAATGCACATATCATCTGTGCCCTTGGCATGGGCAGCAAGGGTGACCTTGATTTTCAGGTGTGCACAGCTACCTTTGACCTTCAAGTCCCACTGGAGAGGCATAGGCATGATCCCAACGAAAAGGAAGCTGCCTGAGTCAGCCCCCAGCGACCTTGCATAGTCCACCATTGTCCTTGTGTCTTAGCACTTCAGTCTGCAATCAATCAATGCCCATTTGGTGCTCAGCAAATCCCACAGAGATGTTCAGTTCAAGGACTCTGGACGGACGTGCAGGACGGATCTCAAGGACATGGTGGTATTTGACAACTCTCCTTATGCCAATGTGGATCAAAAGATATTTTGTACAATGTTCCTAAATATAACTCCTAAGAATTGCATGAGGTCTTGGAAGAGAATGGGGGGAGAGAGAAGCCTTCCAAGTGGGACTCCCGGTGGCTTACACAAGCTTCCTCTGCCTCAGCACCACACACAGGGCCAACAGCACCACTGTGCTGAAAGCCTTGCTTTGCCTTTTCTGTCCCCACTTATTGTAGCTTTTGACCTTCTAGGTCAAAGAGCAAAGTGTAATTACAAAGTTCATTGTCCACTAGCCTGTGTAAGAGGACATTTTCTTGTCACTGTAGCGCCTATTCACCATGGCTCACCGTCTTCCCAACACTTGTGGGATGAATGCAGAAGTGTCTTTGGGTAACCTCAGGTTTCTGCTCAAAGATGCCTTCCCTGCCCCACCCTGCTCTGAACTGGGAACAACAGCCCCAGGATCTCCTGCTGACTGGCATCTGGCCAGGTTTGGCCAACTGGAGACGGTGGGGGAGGTAGGAGCGGGAGGAGGAGGGAGGCAGAGGGTCTCCTGCTCTGGTTTCACTTTGGGCAGCCCAGAGCATCCCCTGAGAGCCCTGGACGTATGAGCACAAGTCTGAGGCTGAGTGGGTGAGCCCAGTGGGCGGCTGGAGGACGAGGGTACCAGAAGCGTGAAAGGTGGCTTGCGGTGTTCCAAGTTTGGTGAGAGGAAGGTCAGGTAGAGCTCAGCCCTTCCATCAGCGAGGACTGGCTTTGACCCGAGTGAGGCCCATCAGCTAGAAGAACAGGGGTGTGTGCGAACAACACCTGGTGCAGCGGGCGCCCGGGAAGGGGCAGGAGGGGTCCTCAGTGGACACCTGAACAGAGCTCCACTGAACACGGGAGTGGACAGGGAGGAACGGGATCAGCAGAGGGATCCTTCTAAGTCGGGGTATATCATCCATGTTGATGTGCTCAGGACAGCACCCCAACCAGGCGGGAGGGGTGGATGATGCAGGAAGGAGGGAAAAGGGCCGTGGAATCCTCCTATTCCAGGAGGATTGCAAGTTCAAGATCAACTTTAGCAACTTAGTGAGGCCCTAGGGACTTAGTGAGAAGGAGGGAAAAGGGTCGCCTGGGGCTGACTCACACTGGAATAGGAGCAGAACCAGCGCACAGGAGCCAGCACCGCGAACTCCGTGACGGGAGGGCCCAGCACAGGGGCTGGGAGACCAGGCTCTTTCCTGAGTGCTTGTTTTCCTGGGGCTAGGAAGCAGTGCCACCTGCTGATGAGGGGAAGGTGCCAGGAGAGCCATGGGAAGCATCTGGGGTGGGGGTGAGGGACACGCAGGCACTTTACTGCACAGACAGAGGCCTGTATCTGGCTCAGCATTGAAGGTTGTCCACGTCACGTCCTAGGTGGCCATGTTGCTCCTGGGATGGCTGAGTAGTAGTCCACTGTGTGCACACCCCAGGGTTGGTGGTGCGCACTGCTTACTTATTACATTCTATGTATGTAAGCAGTTTCCTGATGACGAGAGCCTCGGCTGCTTGGGCGCTGGGAAGCCCAGGCCCAGGGCACTTCGCAAAATCAGGAGTGCTCTGCAGGGCGGCTGCTCAGCGAGGAACGTGCACGTTGTGAATTTCGTCCTCCTGGAGGCTGGTCGACCCTCACAGCCAACATCACACCATCACACCTGTCTTTCTGCACCCACGGGAACACAACCTATTTCCAGGTTTTTGACATCTGCCAATCTGTTAGGTGCAATAGTACCTCCTATTGTGATGAACGAAAGTCTCTGTACATTTGTTTGTTTGTTTTGGGTACTAGGGATTGTACTCAGGGGCACTCAACCACCCAGCCACATCCCCAGCCTTATTTTGTATTTTGTTTAGAGACAGGGTCTCACTGAGTTGTTTAGCGTTTCACTTTTGCTGAGGCTGCCTTTGAACTAGTGATCCTTCTGCCTCAGCTTCCCGAGCCACTGTGATTACGGGCATGCACCACTGCGCCCAGCCCTGTATATCTGTATTTGCAGTTGCCTTTGTGTGAATTGTCTCTTTGTGATTTTTTTCCCCTAGGCTCCTGCTGGATTGGAGGTCTTTTTCTTACGTACTATTCTTCAGATACTAAAAAAATAGACCCTTGTCAGTGCTGGGAGTTACCAGTATTTTTTCCCCATTTATTGTCTTTTGAATGTGTTTATCACCATTCTCCATGCAGAATTTTTCCTACTTAAATGGATTACTTTCTTAATTTGGGGGAGATACCAGGGTGAACCCAGGGCACTTAACCACTGAGCCACATCCCCAGCCCTTTTTATTTTATTTTTTAAATTTTGAGACAGGGTCTAAGTCCCTAGGGCCTCACTGAGTTGCTAAAGTTGATCTTGAACTTACAATCCTCCTGTCTCAGCCTCCCAAGTCATTGGGATTTCAGGCATGGGTCACTGCACCTGGTATCAATTTATTTTTATGTCTACTGGGGTTTTCTGTCACACTTAGGGATGTCCTTCCTACTTCAAAATTATTTCTAAAACATCCCCATATTTACTTCTGTAATTTTTATGCTTTCATTTTTTGCATGCAAATCATTTTACATTTAAGACTTTGATCTTTCTGTTATTTATTTTGGAAAAGATACAAAGTAGTGGAAGAAGGAGATAAACTTTCATAGTAGTTTTTGTTCTATTTACTGAGTGGAAGCCACTCTGGACAGGAGCCTGGGCCCTGGTCTGGGTGAACTTGCACTCACCTGCCAAGCTGGGCAGATGGGGACCTCTTCAAGCGTTTTATCTGCAAAGGAAGACAGCTGGTTTGGATGACTTCCCAGGTGCTCTCCATCAGACAGGCATTGAACCTGCCAAGGATGCTCCTTCTTTCTCTCTGAGTTCTTGGAAGGCTGAGATGGACACCAACAGACTGTGTGGTCAGTGTCAGGAACCACTGCCTTTTCTTCCTGTGTTCAATTAATTAATATTTATTGAGTGCATGTTGTGATGAATCAGCAGAAACCTGACCCTGAGCACGTCAAGGGCCCAGCCTTCCAATGGCAAATTAGGAGCTCCAGCCCCCTGCGGGCTGCACTGAGGGTCGATTATATGTTGGACGCACAGATGGGAAAACACCGGATAAGCTCACTCCAGTTGCAGAGTGAGAAACAATAAGCGTGTGAGTACTTCCTGTTTCACAGAGTGTTCGTAGATGAGCTCATTGAATTCTTAAACACTGCAAGGGTTGGAGGGCTGAGTGACTTATGTAGGGGATCTATTGTGTCAGATGTAAAATGAGTTTGTTGGTTTTTATAGGTGTTGGTTTTGAGTCTTTCTAGAGTATTTTCTAGATTGCAGAGCTGGAGGCCCATAAATGCGATACCACCCAAGGAGCGGGTGGAAGAGATTTCTAGATAGAAGAAGGGTCGTGCGGGACTTCAGAAGGGTACTGCTTATGTGCTGGGCTTTGCACAGGGCTTAGGAGGGAGCAGGGAGGCAGCAGGTTTGGGGACAGAGCTCAGAGGAGGCACAAGACCACTGTGGGGCAGGCTGCTTCTATCTAGAATGTTCCAGCAGGACTGCCTGAAACCCTGTTGGAAAGGACCCATCTTATTAGGGCCAGAGCTAAATGGTTGCTAGCTAACTCCGGGATTTGATCATTTGAGACATAAAAAAGACATATGCAAAGATCCCTAGAGAGAGATTCCTGTTTGGCCTTATATCTAGAATAGTTGTCTTGCTCCTGGATTCTGCCCTGTTTGCACCTTGTGGCACTGGGGTGGCTAGAACGTGGACATCAGAGCTGTTGCCCTTAGCAACAGTTACTCCTGCTGGAATCCTGCACGAATCGCTCTATCTTCCTTCGGGGGAACTTGGAGGCTGCCAGGATCCCTCCCCCTGCTTCCACTCACACCGGGGACCTGGTCCTGGGTGACAGTCAGGGGACTCCAGCTGGAGCAGACCAAGCCCAGTTAGTTCTTCTCCCGAGGCCGTTCATCCTCAGCCTGGAGCTGCCCCACTCTATGCCCAGCGCCTACCAGTCTGGGTACAGCACCCAGAACATAGTACCCACGGCTGAATGCCCAGTTCCTGTGGTCCCTGAGTCCAGTTCCTCTTCTTCCTTTCCCTGTGAGTCAAGGAAATCCCCACATTGTCTTAAGTAAGAGCTGGATTTCTGTCTCTTGCAATCCAAAAGCCCTAGTTTCTCACTTTTAATTAACTTAATTATTTTGTTTGTTTGTTTTGCCCCCTCGTAAGTTTTTTTTTTAAACAATCTGGAGAGGAAAGAAGGCAGCAGAAAAGAGAGAAGGAAAGAGATGTTCCTCAGGCAGAGTGAGTACTAATAGGAGCCCCTGCTATTGATGTCCCTGCCTGCCCCTCTGTCGCCTGCTCCATGGCCACACTCACCCCTCTGTGCTGCAGCCACGCTGTGCTCCTCACAGAGCCCATTCTGAGCATCTGTGGGGAAGGAAGTGGGGATGGGTGGGGACGCAGGACCATTTCCCAGGCCAGGAACAGCAGAGACCCTGGGAAGTCTTGTCACTCTGGGAATTTAGATGAATAAGTGAAGGCACCTGAGTGCCCAAATCTTCTCCTACAGGAAAAGGACTTTTCCCTTTGTAATTAAGAAAGCCAGCCAAAGCTCACAAATAATTGGGATTAGCAATGTCCATCAATGATGTTTCCAGTTACCTGAGCAAGAAAAATCCAGCGATCACGGAAGGCAAGACTCAGAACCATGAAGCCAGTGTTGCTCATTTACTTTGACAAGCGTAATTCAGGTTCAGTTTATTTATGGTTAAACTCCCATGGCACTGTAACCAGATTCCCCGGCTGGCAGGAGGGCGGGGGAGTGAGGAAAGGCGCCCACTTTCCTTTGGTTTTCTCTTACCTCTTCCTGATTTTTTTTCTTTTGACCCTAGCATCTCTTTCCATCTTTAAATTCAGATTCACAAAATGGTTGCTCCCAGGGCTACACAAGATTGCAAAACACTCTGCCTTGGATTCACTTCTCCGTTTTGCTTTCATTTCAAGAGAACATAGATAACAGCATTGTGATATTTCTTGGAGAAGGTCTATATTTATTCTAACCATTTTCTCATTGCTTAAAATATTTTGAAGCTCCCTTTTTCAAAAGTTGATTTCGAGCCAGGTTTAGAGTGAGCTACAAAGATGCAAAAACGTCAGTGTCGGTAAGTTTATAACGGGATGTTTGTGAAGCCTGGCAGTGTCGCCAGCACAGCATAGGAGCGTAAACGAGCCTCCGCGGTTTCTCTGTAGGTCAAGGTGAAAGCCCTCGGTCACAGTCTCTGTGCACATCTCTCCAGACTGTTAATTTTGCTCTACTGACCCTTACCAATGAAAACGTGGGCCTGTTTCAGCTGATTCACTGGCATCTCAGTCCACCTCTCTCCCTCACTGTACCAACAAACCACCAAGTGCCCCGTGTCCCTCTGTCCTGCTGTATCGGTGTCAGCTGAAACCTCAGGGAATCAGCTGCCCAGAGGGAACTAGACATGCAAGAGAGGTGATAGGGGAGGCACTGGCGAGGGAAAAGGGCGGGAGTGGCCCTGACACTGGCAGGATTGGGCAGGAAGAGTCCCCGAGGGCAGCACTGTTCTGAGAAAGCCCTGCCAGGCCAGGGGCAGCCACCAAGCAGAAGCCTTTAGTCAGAGGAGTCTCAGAAAGAGGAGGCGCTGCTCGGGGTTGCGTGTTCACCGGGGAACAGCCAGGGAGAGTGTGGACACCCACGGGGAGGTTCTGGGCTACCAGTGGAGGATGGCTGTGCTGTGGGTCCCTTGGAAGGAGTGCTGAGGACACCTGCAGGCCACCAGCCCCCCTGCACCACACACAGCCCCTTGCAGCGTGTGTTCGGGGAGCAGCTCCCCCTTCGTTTCTTGAGCCTCTCATCTTGGAAGATACTTAGAAGAGGGGCAGTAGGACTAACCACGAGCCCTGGTGCTGCCACTGGCTGGGACCGCCGGGGTTTGCTCCTGTTCCCCACCTTCCTCCTGAGAGCCCTGAGCCTGGAGGACCACACCCTCCTCAGGACCCTCACTCATGGGGGAGGAGCCAAGCGGAGCTGGCTTTCACACACTCCTCCTGGACCCAGTGCAAACCAGCCTGTCCTCGGCTGGGGATCGAGGTCAGTGAATCCCTCCAAACAGAAACACTTTGTCCCACTCCTGTCCCCAGACACAGGCATCAAAGGATCCTGGTGGCAGCTGTGACTTGTGGCACACGGGGACTCCTGGTGATACCCCTCGTAGGATCTGAACTTCCAGCCCTACAGAGTCCAGAGTTGCAGGGACAGGAAGCCCAGTGGGTCACTGCAGTGACAGTGAGTGGGGCCATTCCCGCCTCCACCCTGTGGCCCCTGGGCTCACGTGGGCGTCCTTGGGAGCAGGGCCACAGTGCCTGCATGGTGCCTTCGTGGTGCCTATGCTGTGACTGAGGTTGCTCTCCTCATCCTTGTCCGTGTCACCTGGGGCTGCAGCCCTGTCCCCGCCTGACCATTCCGGCCCTGGGTGAGACCGCCTTTCTGGAGGTGAGACCAGAAGACGCTCATCATGGCTCCTCTCAGGCCTCCTGGCCAGGGTCCTCTCTCCATGTTGCTCCATGGGGATCACATGCCTGGGGGCCCTGATACTGCTCTGTGGGCAGCAAACACCCCTGGTGTAGGAGTCTGTTCTTGTGGGTCCTCCAGGAGATAAGGGACTTTACTTGCTTCCGAATAGATGGCTGGTCCCCTCAGGGAGCAGCGCCATATCGGAGGCTCAGCTTGGCCTCAATTACTGGCTGATTGGAGACTCAGGGGTGGCCGTGTGTCATTGGGAGCGTGTGCAGTCAATCTCCTGTCTGGTCCTCCTCCCTGACACTCTGGCTGCTCCATTCATGTGTCCTTTGGGGTTCCAGGATGGCTGGGGCACCATTGTGTACACTGAGCTGTTGCAGGTGTCCTCCATGGTGGGTGTTCCCTGGTGGAAACTAATGTATGACACAGAACACCTCGTGCCCACTCCCACGGGTCCAACGGCTTGCCTCTACCAGGGCCTTTCCTGTAACCCTTTTGCCGCTGAGCCCTCCCCTACTGGCCGCACCACTGACCCTGGAATCTGCACTTACCCTCAGCTCAGTCTGCTCCTCCTCCTACACAATAGGATGAACACGTGCCTTGCCCCCAGTCCTGCCCTCTCCGCTGTCATTCAGGGCTGTCTGTGAACACGATGTAATGTGGCTGCCGGACATTTTCAATTACCCCCTTAGAATGAGCATCTGGCAATCAAGTTTGGAATTCCCCATCTTCTTACACTGGCCCTATGGGACCTCCCTCTCCCATACAGACATAGGTGTCAGTTGATAAGGAGTGCTGGTGTGCCCTCGCAGGTAGCCTCGTGTAGGAACATCTGCTCGGCCAGCCTCCTCCTGCCTCCCGACTCTGCCTGGGCTCGTCCGATACACCAGCTGATGGGCTGATGCTGAGCCATCCAACTTTGTGACCTGGTGGACCCCCAGATCCAGATCATAGCGGGCAGTTCCAGAGGGTCAACTGGTACCTCAAGGTCGAGTGATTGACCTTGGAGAGTCTGCTTCTCCAAGGATGCATAGTCCCTGCTGTAGCTGGCTCTGCGGCAGTCCCCAGTGCCTACATAGGAATTGTCCCCTGAGCTGGATGTGACCACATCACACCTCCTCCCCCCATTGACACCACAGCGCTGCAGCCACTTCTCTGGGAGGAGACCCCAGTGGCCACCACCAGGCTGGAGCAGCACCTCCCTCCTCCCCGTAGCCTTGGGGCCTTCCTGCAGACTCCTTCCCGAGAGTCAGGCAGCCTGAGCTCCCGGCCCAGATCATGCTGATTGTAAGTTAAATTGTGTCCCTTAAAGAACACGTGGAAGCCCTTCCTCTGTGTCTGTGAGTGTCACTTATTTGGTGGTTTTGTTTTGTGGTATTTGTTTTGTTTTGCTCCTGATGCCGAGGACGGGACCCAGGCCTGCAGCCTGCTGAGGGCTGTCACGACCACTGAACTGTATCCCCTGCCCCTCGTATTGGGAGATGGCCTTTCAGAGGTGGTCATGGTAAGAGGAGGTCGTACTTGATGGCAGTGGATTTAATCCAGTATGACCGGTGTCCTTCAGAACAGGCACAGGCACAAACGCACAGAGAGAGCCCTGTTCAGACATGGAGGCAGAGGTGGGAGCTTCAGGGGGAGGGAAGGACCCTCCCTGGATCCCTCAGAGGGAGCCCGGCTCTGCCCGCACCGTGATTTCACATGTGGGAGAGTCAGCTTCTGTTGTTGTTTTTTCCTAATTTTTTTTTTTTTTTAGTTGTCAATGGATCATTTATTTATTTATTTATATGCGGTGCTGATGATGGAACCTGGGGCCTCCCACATGCCAGCAAGCGCTGTGCCCCTGAGCCCCCCTCCCCAGGTCTGTTGTTTTCAGCCCCCTGTTTGCAGCCCTGGGATGCAGCTGTCCTGAGAACTGGCCTCCAGCCTTTCTCGGCTGCCCCCTCCCCTCCCCGCCTTTGTCCAGGGGCCCCTGCCTGGAACACCCTCTTCTCTCCTCCACACCAGGGCTGCCAGGTCCAGGAGGCCCCACCCAATCTCACCCTGAGGCTCCGCTCCCTGGCCCCAGCCCTGGGCCCTCTCCGATCTGCCTCCCTTGATCTGTCTCCAGGTCCCACCAGGCTCCAGGAAAGGATTCAAGGCCATAGCTGCCCCGTGGTTTGCTGAGCGGCTTGTTCCTGTTGAACTTTTTCAAGTCTGACTTGATTGCCTGGACTCCAAGCCAAGCAGTCTCGGACCCCAGACCCCAGCAAGCCCCCCTAGGTACAAGACCATGTCACCCAGCTGTCCTCGAGGGACCTCGGTTCTCCTGACTCTAGGTAGTCGTACCTGGTGCTTCTCCTCCACGGATCCCAGAAGACACTGGTCTTTAAGGACATCCCCTGTCATTTAACTGGCTATCGGGTCATGTAGATGAAAGCAAAAGTTATGAAAATGACAAGGGGCTGTAGGAAGGTTGGACGAATCCTCAAGTTTAACCACCCAGGCCTCAAAGCCCCCGAGTCCTTCAACAGCTCCCAATAGGAAAGAAAGAAATCTATTTCAGATCTTGCCATGTAAGAGTTATGCACAGAAAGGGGTCACAAGGACCCTCCCACTGTGCTTCCAAGGCAGTTGCCACTCAGTATTCCAACAGCCGCCTCTGGTCACCATGAGCTTCGAGCTCCGTGTTAATCTGGACAGAGGAGCTCATCTCCAGCCAAGGCCAGAGAGTTACCACAGTCTCTTGACGTGCCGTGTAATTGGAGACGGCTTTCTCGGGAGCAGTTTGTGTGATGGGCTGTCTGGAGGCCAGCTGTGTCCTGGATGTGCCCAGTGGTCCCTTGTGGCCTGGGGGGGGGGGTGTCGTTCTGATCTGAGATGCAGGAGCCACCAGTGGCATAGTGACAGTCCCCATTACAGGATCCGGAGGAATCTCAGCAGCCCTCCACTCTAATCCCTCTGGGTTAATGAGGAAGACACCGAGTCCAGAGACCAAGGGGGACTCGGTCAAGGTCAAGGCCATCAGCCGTCAGTTTCTGCTAAGCTCACTGATCATGCCTCTTCCCGAAGCCATCGGGCCCTGGACGCTGTCACCTGGCCACCCTACCTCCCAGCCACCCCAGCCCTGTCCACCGTGACAGGCCTCCTTGTGTGCACAAGATGCCACTGTATGCGGCTCTTGATTTAAGACCTGGAGGAGGAAGTACATGAAACAGCAGTTTGTAAAATGCAAAGCCTTCTGAAAGCATGAACTTCTTATTTATTTATTCTCCTTATATCTGTACACAGCGTTGGGATTTGTTGTCACATGTTCGTATGTGCACACAAAGTGACAGTGTGATTTGGCCAATGTCAATCCCCAGTACCTTGGGATTTTTATATCACTGTCCCATTCCACAAGTCAGACGAGCCTACACAATGGCAAGGACACAAGTCCCCCCAGGAAATGACATGCTCTGCTTCCTCGTGCTACGAGGGTGGGTGTCTCGGAGACCACAAGGCAGGAGGAGGGTCAGGCTAGAGTGGGGACAGGGGGAGGCTCGGCCCAGGTGTCTAGGACCCAGGTGACCCTCTGGGTTTAGGACTGGGTGGATGCCGTGGCCTGGTCCCAGGGTCAGGCTGGCTTTATCTGTGCAGTTGTTACCTCCCTATGCAGGAAAGGAGTCTTTGGGGATCCTCATGGAAGGACAGTCCCCAGCTTCAGGCAAACCCATCCCCACGTTTGCTGGTGGGGCCTCGGAGACTGGCCTGTGTCCTTCCAGCCTGTCAGTAGGGGGTGCTTAGGAAGGAAGGGCCCCCATGGGCTCACTGTGCCGTCCGTGGGCTCTGAGGACAGAGGGAACCACCCAGCTCTGAGGGGCTATTCCCAGTGACAACCCCCCACCAGGGTGACCTGTGTCCTTAACAAAATGGAAGCTTCCATGTCCCCAAACAGACGTTGTGTGTCATCCAGAGGAAGACCCTGCAAGCCTGGGAGTGTCGCCTTCCAGTGAGGCCTAAGGGGCGAGGCCTGATGACAGCGCCACACTCTGGTTTGATTCCTCGTGGTGTGAGCCTCATACGCACACACACCTGCACGGCGCAGGTCGGCCACCCTGTGTGGCTGCTCGCTGCAGTCGGGATGGAGTAGACACAGGATGCGTGGGGCTCCTGTCCACCTGACAGGGCAGACTATTCACAGCTTCCCTTTCTCTATGAGTAGAGTGCACTCTAGAATAGCAGTGAAGTAGAGCATAGCAAATGCATAAGCCAGCAACACGGCTGTGTTCCCTTTCTGTAACAAAAATACCTGAGACAACTGACTTATGAAGAGAAAAGGTTCTGGAGGTTCCAGAGGTCGATTGGTTGGCTCTGCTGCTTTTAGCCTGTGGTAAGGCAGCACATCGCCGTGGGAGGGCGAGGCAGAGCCAAACTGCTCTCCCATAGCCAGGGAGCAAGAAAGAGGAAGAGACTGAGGTCCCATTATCCCCGTCAAGAGCACACCCTCCGTGACCTTCCCCTAGGCTCCACCTCTTAAATCCCCGCTGCCTTCCGATGGCACCAGGGCTGGGGACATGGGGACACATGGGGGAACCACAGCAGTATTTGTTTATGGTCCTCATGGAGCATCTTGGGCTGTGCACACCTTTTGATGTGTGGCAGAGCTGCAGGTTAGCTCACGCAGCCGCACACAGTCCAGCGGGTGGGGTGAGGCCTTGCGCTAGGACGTCACTGTGGCCACAGGGTACTGGGCAGGGCGTCCCAGCCTCCTGATCCTGGGGCTCTCTGTGCCTCTGCTTATTTTACTGCCTCTGTTGTGCCTGTGCCTTTTCTTGTACACTCGCTCACACTCCCTTTCCTTCTGCAAATCACGTGATTCATTAAAACTGCAGCTCGGCTCAGAAGGGGGGCGCAGCCCAGAGGGAGAACACGGGGGGAAACGGGCTCATGTTTCCTCCTAGTTTTGTTCTCTTCTTGGTTTGAAGGATCTCTCGGCTTCTTCAGAGGCAAGTACTCATATGTGGTTAATTATTCAACCAAAACGCACGCACTGCCTGAGTCGTTCCCACGTGGCCAGCAGGTCTGTGCCGGTTCCCAGGAGGACGTGAGGAAAACAGTGCAGGTCCTACCCGCGCCCATCAGCCACCGTCACCGTGAAAAACGCCGTGATCGACCTAAGAAGAGGAAGGGTTTCTCCTGGGTCGCAGTTCGGGGGGTTCCAGTGCCCGATCGGGTGGACCGGTTCATTTGAGGCCACGGTGGGGTGCTCGATAGCAATGGTGGGGGGTGGGGACAAAGCCAGGAGAAACTGCCCAGCTCATGGCCAGGGAGCCAGGGCGAGGAGCAGCCTGGGAGCGTCCTCTCAAGGGACACCCCAACCTACAGCCAGAGGTCCTCGGCCCCACCTCCCAGAGGCAGCACCATCTCCCCGTAGCACCGAGCCAGGACGTTTGGGGACACTAAGGTCCAAACCCTCGACCCACTGCACAGAGGAGAGCAGACGGGCTCTCGGCCAGCGCCCAGCCCATTCCCAGCTGGTCACTACAGCCCTAACGCTCCTCGCCCACCCCTGACGGCGGCTGTGCCGGCAGCTTGAGATCACCTTCTGACCTCCACACGTTCCTCAGGGGTAGATGTTGTCACAGATGAAAACACGGAACTCAGAACACTAAACACCGTAGCCGGGCCAGTCAGATGCATGGCAGAGCCAGGAGCTCCACCCTCTCTGCTGGCCCAAAGCGGATGCCCAGCTTGGAGCTTTAGGGACAGCCTGGCCAGCGGAGGGCTCTAGACCACGGACTCCAAGCCCAAGCAACCCCTGCGCTGCCTGGAACCACAGCAGACTCCCAGGGCCGGCTCCGGGGACGGCCACCGCTGAGCTGTCTCCGTCATTCCCCCAGCACCCACGCACAGTACGGCCCCTTCCCACCCTCCAGATCCTCTCATGACCCCGTGCCCCCTCAGCCACCATGCCCTGTCTCTGGGCCCCTGCAGAGTTCTCCCAGCCTTCCTGTCTCCCAGGTTTCTCCTGATGCCTCCTTGCAGCCCCTCCTCCAATTGCTAGATCTTACCCCTAAAAGCTCTTGTCCCAACAACAGCCTTTGTGCTTTCTCTGCCACTCCTCTCTGGCCTCATCTCCCTCCCCTCATCTCTCTTTTGGCCAATCCAATGCCTGTGGCTCTGACGTGCCCGATTCCCGCTACCTCAGGGCCTTTGCACTGGTGGTCTCTGCCTGGAGGATTCTTTTTTTCTCGCTACCTGGATGTTTTACTTTCCCCTTTCCTTCAACTGTCCTCTCAAAGAACTCTTCTCAGTGAGCCTTTCCCAGACCACTATTTTAAAATAGAAATAGAGCCAGGTGTAGTGCCATG